TTAGACAATATATAGATAATGTTTTGCATCATATTGTCGAAATTGCGCCGAGATTGACTGTGCAAATTGATCACAATAATTAAAATAGCCTGCGCTTTGTAAAGCGAAAAAAGTCGTAACATGCAACTTTAGTAAAAACAAATGAACATGGCACGGAAGCACCACTGTTATGACGCAGCACCTGAAAAGAAAACACGTTGGAGCCTTCTATGGCAGTGAAGAGAGCTGATCAGCAGGGTGAGCGACCATGTTTGTTTGGTTTTAAAGTGGGGAAACGTAAAGTTAGTTTCTCAGGTAGCTCATCTGATGCTTTCCTTACCGTGTTAGTAGGTTACAGACAGGGATAAGGTTGGCTACTTATTTTACTTTTAATTTCATTTGAATTAGCTTAAGCAGCGTTTATATTTTCTTTATAAATAAATTAACTTGCAAATTATGAGGGCAAGGCTTTTAAAGTTTAAATCTTCTGGCAAAGATAAAGTAAAGAAGATCCTGCAATTTATGGAAGTAAAGCAGAATAAAATCCAGCAAGATCAGTAATATGTCAATTAATTATCTGCCACATTCCCATGTAAATATCTGTCTTTGGAGGATGTGTTTTTTTAACACCCCTAGTTCTCTCATTTTTATTCCAAATACAATTTATAATTTGAATCACAGGGCTATTTTTATCTCTATGGTTCAGTATTTTCTCAAGTAGCAACTTTAACTGCTATACTTTCCTGTCTTAAAAGGCAGAACTCTTCTAGTCTAAAAAAACTAATTTGTTGAAATGGGGGGGCCTATTGTTTGAACCCCTTAGGGGCTTTAAAAACAAAAATGTATTTTTTTGCGCTTTATGAAACAAAGTACCCTATATTTTGTGGATGTACAGCTACATTTCTCATGTAAGTTTGCGTAGTTTTAACACAAACATTTATTTTTCATATTGCACCAGGACAGTTAATGAGCAACCTGTACTTGTGTGCTTGTTTGTTCTGTCTAAAATGTTTATTTTTGAATAAAGAGGTTAATATAAAAAATATTTTTTGTCCGATTCATCGATTAATCGAAAAAATAATCGGCTGATTCATCGATTTTTAAAATAATCGTTAGTTGCAGCCCTAGTTCAAATGTATATATATATATATATATATATATATATATATATATATATATATATATTCTCAAAGTATTTGTCTTAATTGTGCACCGAATCAAAATGTGTTAGAGACAGAGAAACCCTGAACCTCAGAACAGCATCCTGAGGGATGTGGTAGAAACTGATTTTTCCTAAATGTAGAGCAAGTTACGTAAACTGCCCACATCTCCAAATGCATAACAGTGAGCAGGTTTGCAGTTAAATTAAAATGCATCCCAGTCTGTGGGAACTTTGCCCAAGGTTTATGATGGGATATTTATTGCAAGATGAAGAGTCAGATTAGTACACATTTTGTCACAATACAACGACAAACCTCAGTGTGTTTCACATGGATTTTATGCGATAAGCCAAAAAAAAGTGAAGGGAAAACAAGGTGTTCTGTTATTAATAAAAATGTTTTAATTACCAGACCTGTGTTGGTGTATATTTAATACTGTGTATTTGATGTTTACAAGTCATACCAAACTTCTTTTTTCTGTACAAATTCTAATGCAGTACAACAAAATACGCTTAATAATAATGCAATATTTGTACATGCTTTTAAATTTAAATAGAGGCAGACATAATCTATACTCCACTGCTCAAAGTTTAAATGGCTGTTTCAGTTCTGATCCTCGCCCAGAGGTTATTTTGAGCATGTTTGTGTAGGTTAAATATTCTTGATCTTACATGAGTAAATTTCTGTAATGAATCTTCAAACTGAGTTTTAGAGGGTTTTACTTTTTTTATTGCCTATTTGAATAGTACAATTCTAGTTAGACTGTCAAATTTCCGGCTGGCCCATTAAAGATTGGACAATTTAAAACAATAGTGTATTTACTTTGTTAAACTGTTTAAAATGAAAAATAGTATATAAATGTTTTATATACATAAAATATGTATATAAAATGTGGGCTGCTCAGTGGAGCAGTAGGTTCGATTCCCCCTGGGGTCTTTCTGCATGGAGTTTGCATGTTCTCCCTGAGCATGCATGGGTTCTCTCCGGGTACTCCGGCTCCCTCCCACAGTCCAAAACTGCCCACATCTCCAAATGACTGTTAGGTTGATTGGCTTCTCTAAATTGTCCTTAGGTGTGAGTCTGTGCATGAATGGTTGTTTGTCCCGTTTGTCTCTGTGTTGCCCTCCGATGGACTGGCGACCTGTCCAGGGTGGACCCCGCCTCTCACCCATTGACTGCTGGAGATAGGCACCAGCACCCCTTGCGACCCCACTTGGGACAAGCGTGTGAGAAAATGGATGGATGCTATATAAAATGTATAGACTTTTATTTCAATGTATTTGGTAACGTTTATCAAAAGAAAAATGGCAATGGTTACCGAATATTAGTGAGTAATGTAACATAATGAAGCAAAGTAAATCTCAATCAGAGAAAATAATTAATATCTACTTAATTTACTTCATAACAGCAAATTCTACAGGGATATAACATTTCCTTAAAATTTTTAGTAAAATGCAAGTTCTACACACTCAAAAAAATGATTCACAGGCCTAGTAAATATAGTAATAAATAGCTATACTAACTTAATAAAATCTCTGAAAATCACTTAAGTGATTATTTGAGTTGTACATACCAAAATAAATGTCTAAAAATGTAACTGTTATTTTTGTGTCCAATTTACAACTATGGGTTAGGTTTATTTCACAAAATGAAATTAGTATTTGCTTAAAAAATATATTTTTTTAGATATTGTAAATATTTTTGGTAAATTTCAAACAAAATATTTGGGAAGGCATTAATTCTACTGATTAGTTTCTAGAACTTCAAGTATTACTCATTCTAACTTAATATTATTTCAACTTAATCATCTACTTAAGAAGTTGAGTAATTTACGCGCCAAATTGACGCTAATCGTGCAGCCTCATGCGAAATCTGCGTCTCGGCCTCGGCAACAAGTGGCAGCCTGCCGGTGGAAGGAGAAATGCCGATACAATCAGCACCTGGAAGAATACTGTGGTAAGTGTCCAGCTAGTAAGAGTGAATTAAATATTAACCCTGTCTTCTGCATTAACAATTTATAGGGAGTAAATTTCTTATTACTGCCGTAGCCATGCTTTTAAGTTACCTTAACAGGGTTGTGTAGTTTTTAACCGTATCTTTTTTTTTTTTTATATGACATAAGTTCTTCTATATAAAATTAAGTTTAATTTTGTTTATTTCGATTAAGAACATTTTTTCCAAAAACAGTAATATCCCTTGAAATCCATGTAATAAAAAAGTTTTTTTGCATTTTTTTAAATATTCCTATGGATAAAAACTGTTGTATCTTTACAGATCAGTATTCCTAAGTATTTTACTTCTTTCTTTATTTTTATATTATGGAGTGTTTAGAGAGGGTAATCATGAATAGTTTGAATTTCACACTTGTCCTTATATAAGTGCAAGCTTTAGAAAATTAGTCTATTGTTTTTAATTTGGAAATTAAATGGTCAACCAAACTAACTTAATTTCCAACTTCCCAGGAGGATTCAGCCAATGTTTTTGCCATACTCTTGGCGTGCACAGAGACAATGTTGGGGTTAACCATTTGAATCCTTTCCTGACTACCTCAGTTACTTACTGTGAGGGAGTTTGTGCTGAAGCTATAGCAAAATTATTTTCTGCACATTGAAGATTGACTGTAAAACTGTGATCTAAATATCCCATTCACTCATTCATTTCAGTGCTTATCGGAGTGAGAGAAATTGTCAATTTAACTTGAAAGGTGAAACTTTCTTTTCATTCTCTTAAGGTGTAGTCCAAATATTTTGGAATACACCTTAAGAGAATGAAATATCCAAATTCTACTATATGTTTTGACAAAAAAAGGTTCAAACCATCTAAATGTCCAGTCTGGGGGCCCTTTAGCCTTACTTGACCCGTTAATAAACTGTATGCTGGAAATAGTCTAAATGAAAACTTCCATAATTAGATATGTTTGATAGTTATCTTCATTGAAAAGTACAGTGTTTTTTCTTCAAAAATAAGGAAATTTCAATGTGACCAGAAACGTTTGAATGGTAGTGTATCTCTCTCTCTCTCTCATATATATATATATATATATATATATATATATATATATATATTTATATATATACATATATATATACATATATATTTATATACATATATATATATATATATACATATATATTTATATACATATATATATATATATATATACATATATATTTATATACATATATATATATATATACATATATATTTATATACATATATATTTATATATATATGTATATATATATATATACATATATATTTATATACATATATATTTATATACATATATATTTATATACATATATATTTATGTATATATATATATATATATATATATATATATATATATATATATATATATATATATATATATATATATATATATATATATATATATATATATATATATATATATATATCGTGTCAGAATGCTTGTCAGAAGCATCTTGCTAACCAGTTAGCAACTTAGTGCTAGCAGGTTCCCAATGGGAAATTCCATTGGGACCAAGTAGCACTAAATTGGTGACTTAGAAACGACGCTGTCAAGGAACGCTATGGACAGAGGAAACATGCAAGAGGAGGAGAGTTTAGTGTCGGAGGTCGTGGATGAGTCTCCTCCGTCATCCATTTTTTATTTAGAGGAGGAAAGCGGGGACGAAGATGTTGTGGAAGAGGACGCCAGGGCGGCAGAAGCTTGGTTTGGTGTAGAAGGCTTCCAGCCGTACATGTTTGAGCCAGAATGATTTGATATTTAAATATGATTTCCCTACGACTTTAAATGATGGCTCGCTGCTGGGATGTCCTCTCCCTGATGCGTGGAAAACTGGAACAGCTTTTCATAAAGAAGAAAAACGAAATCTGTTGAGTTTGATCAGTTTTAATCTAAAACTGCTTCACTATATGTCGGCTCCACACTTCACCTCATTCCAGGTTCTGATGTTAGAGGCGAAGTTCTGCTGCTCTACATTCATCAGGCTGACAAAGAAATAACAAATGTTCACATTTTAACACGTTTTTCAAACTTTCTGAGCAACAGTCATGATTTGGACATGGAGGCTGTCGTTTGATCCTTCAGAGACTAAATGCATAAAGTCAAAGTAGCAATGTTTCTTTCTCTAAGCCCACCACCCAGAAACCCGTCCATCTTTACCCTACCACCAGGTGCACCACCCCCTCCCTTCGTTTCCCCTCCATCATGTCCGTTCCCTTCAGGACGAAGGCGTTTGTCCTCTGTCAGTTTGGAGTCCCTGCCCTTTGAGTCCTGATTTCTGACTTTAGGAGGCTGCAGCCAAGCAGGGCCAAAAACGAGTCCAAATCAAATTTAAATAAAAAAAGAAAAGCGCCGGTCGTTTATCTTCCACCTGTTGGGTTTCTCCTCGCCTCACGCAGGCACAGCGCTGGCCGATCGGTTAGCAGAGGATGATGACGTCCAGATTTTCCTCCCACTTCCCCCGCGTGGCGCTACATGATGATGCGCGGCTCTGGGACCGACTCGTTGATGGATTTATGGGGCAGGACGTTGGCGCCGTTCAGGTAGAGCTCGTCGTTTACGATCACGTCCTCTCCCAACACCGTCACGTTCTCCATTCGCACCTGAAGACACAGACAACCCAGAAACAAATCAGCCTTTAAGCCGCCGCTGCTCTGCTAAAGCTAAGGTTCTGCTGCTCTATTAGTCCATTAAAAAACATTTTGCTGACATGGCCTTTGGATAAAACGCAAATAATTCTTTTGTTAAATGTCTGCCAGAGGAAATGTGTCGCATTTCAAAACAACCTACAGCTTATTTAAATTTTTAGGGAAAACATGAAACGTTTCAGTAAGAGGAGAAGGTGGCCTGACCCCTTCGACCGAGGACGTTCTGTCCAACTGTAAATGCATGTCCCGGTGGGCGGGACCCGCCTGCACTCACCCACTGCCCCACAGAGGAGCTCCACCCGACGATGCAGCTCTCCAACCAGGAGTGCGATCGCACCCTCGACCCCTTCAGTACCGTGCATCGCTTAATCCTCACGCCGTCCTCCACCACGACTCCGGCGCCGATGGTGACGTTCGGCCCGATGGTGCAGTTCTCCCCGATCTGCGCCGTCGGGTCCTGCAGACAGACCGTTCCGGCCGTTTAGTGGTTCTTCCTCCTCCGTCCATCAATCCATCAACAAGCTGCACTCACCACCAGGACGTTGCCAAGGAAACCGGGTCCCGTACGCAGCCTCTCTGGAGCGTGTTGCCGTAGCGAATGCAGGTACATACACATTCCCGTCAGGAAGTCTTTGGGCTGGCCGATGTCCATCCAGAACCCTACAGAGAACAGGCGGTCAGGAAATGAAAAAGCTGAACAAACTCCCAGAAACGGACTGTTTGCCTGAAAGCGACGCAGATCAATTTGACCCAAATTATTAAATAAGCAAAGAACGTTCACAGTAGCTACCTATGGGGTAAAAACACTGATTACTGGAAACGCTGGTGTGTCTACAGGACGAGAGGAAGGAGAGAGAGAGACGGGGATGTGGTCGAGCACCCGGTTCAGATCAATGGGCTGACCAGAAGGATTTCTGTATGGAGTGAATTTTGTTTCAACATCGTCAGAAGCAAACAAAACCTTTTTAAAAATGGAAATTTAAAGAAAAAGCAACCAAGAAATTAAACTTCTTAACCAACAAAAAGGTTCTCAGAGAAACTTTTCTGTTTTCTAAGATTCATGTTGCTTAAATTTCTGTTTAAGACTGATTTGTACGAATGCATGCTTATTAAACTGCATTTTACACGTCGCATTCTCCTCACTTCAAGTTTATTAAAAACTCTCACTCATGACCATTAAAAAATACAAAAAACTAAAATATCGTTGCTAACGTCCAGCAGACTGATAGAAACGCTTCTTTACTTCCTCACTCCAGAGGAAAGACAGCAATTTGTAAAACTCAAACTGAGAAACAGATATTTGAAAATATATAACCCGTAAAAAAAAAATAATTTGAAAAAAATATATATAGATAAAAAATGAAATCTGTAACATTTTTTTATTCATTTACAAAACCTGTTTTTGTAACAATAATGGAACAAAATTGACTCCGTATTTCTGCTCTATTTCTGCGCTCGTCTACGGTCGTCTCCTCTCCAGAACTACAAACGTTTGGATGTGAGAAAAGATCCAAACACTTACGTGTGGTGGAGCTGTGAGCTGCAAAAAACCAGAGTGGGTCATTTTTTTTTCCTCCACCATAAACACTTTTATTCTGATGCTAAAACAGGAAGAACTGAGCCCTCCCACCATGAGCTACAAACTAAACCAGCCTTTATCTTTGGTACACTTTCTGCTCTAAAAAAAGCAAAAAACATCATTTCTAAATCCTCTGGTAGATACAGATTCTATTCTTATTATTCTGAACACATCATCTCCATCTTTCTAATGGTTTGTTTACTGAAACTGCTGCTGTGTTTGACAGCACTTGGTAAATCCTGTCATGCACTCAGCTGCTGGCTTCAAGGAAAGAAAAGCTATAATAGAGCCGGTTCTTTTGGACTGGGTTCTAAGCCTGCAGCCGGCTAATGGTACCGTCTGACTGATAGTTACCCTGCAGCTCCATGGCGTACAGATGGCTCTCCCCTGCCATGACAGGAAATATTTCCTTTTCGATGGACGTCGGTCTGAGCTGCACACAAACAGAACAGCAGCGGTCAAACTATCTGCAAAAATCTCTAATAAATCAATATTAATACAGTTCATATTTGTATGTTAATGTACGCTGGTGAAGATTCTCAGTTTTTCAGGTCATATTCATTCCAAAAAAGTTAAAATCAATCCACTGGACTTTGTTTCCAAGTTTGAAGATGTTTCTCTTCCATCCAGGAAGCTTTTTCAATTCAAAATGTCAGAATTATGGTTGAGTTCCAGGTTTTATCCAGTAAAAGAACGGTATGTTAATATATGCTGCTATAGGCTTAGACTGCTGGAGGACACAGGGACCCCTTTTTCATCATTCTGCTTCATTCTATCTCTATTCTCCCACTCTGCAGAATCTATTAGTTCAATCTCTAACGTTCTGCTCTCTCTGCTTTTTCTCATAGTAGCTTCATCTGGTCTGTTCCTGTTTGGCTGTGACTCCATCCTGGAGAGAAATATCAGCTGTGCTGCTGCCATCAACACCTTTGTTTCTAGATGTTGGAGCTCGGCCTGTTTTCCAGTGTAGTCCTGTTTCTCTGACTGTGACTAACTGGATGTGCTCTCTTCATCCTCTGACATGGGAGCTGGCTCGGAGCTCGTCTCCCTGACTGTGTGTTTCCTGGACGGGCCGCCTGTGGAGCTGGTTGACAGTTGCTTTTTGTATCTATGCTTCTTTTTCTATGTCTGCTTCTGTCTCCTTGAACCCCAGTGGGCCTCAGCAGATGGCCGCTCACACTGAGCCTGGTTCTGCTGGAGGTTTCTTCCTGTTCAAAGGGAGTTTTTCCTCTCCACTGTCGCTACAAGCATGCTTAGTGTGAGGGATTGCTGAAGAGTCAATGAGTCAATGCAATCAACTGGTTTGCCCTTTGAATCAGTTTCACTGGATGATCTGGTTGAACTGGAAACTGCCTTGAGATGACGTGTTGTGAATTGGCGATATAAAAATAAACTGAGTTTAATTTCACAAAAAAAGGAAAAAAAATACTATTCTACTGCTTAGAGAGCTAATCACAACAAGCAGCAATGGTTGCTAGGCGACCATCGATTGGCACAGAGCTAAGGCAGAAAGTTCATCTTCTGGCTTCAGTGGCAGGTGAGTAGGAAGCTAAGCCTCACCTGTATCCTGCTGAGCATGCTGGGATTGAAGATGTAGATGCCGGCGTTGATCTTGTTGGAGACGAAGACCTGCGGTTTCTCGACGAAGCGTTGGATCCTGCCGCTCTCCGCCTCATAAACCACCACGCCGTATTTGGACGGCTCTTCCACACGTGTTACCTGCCAACAAGACGTACGTATTTCCATCAGATCAGAACTCATCCAAAGCTACATCTCCTGCTATCGTTTGTTGTTTGACCAAACTAAACCTAAATGCTGTAGATTTTATTTTTCATTCATTAAAAGACACAAAGAACAATAAAAAAAACGAGTTTTAATTTTGTTCTCACAGGTTTCCTTCAGATTTGCTTCGTTTAGCTCAGGAATAAATCTAGTTCCTTAAGGAATAAATGTTTGGAGGAGAAGCAGAGCGGCCCGCCGTAAGCAGAGGCTAGCCTTCGATGTCTACCTGTCCTCCTCTTTCCTCTCTGATCTCCGTTTGCTTCAAATTAGCACCACTAATAAAAAAAAAGCTACGTAAATATAAGCATAAATAAAAATCTCTTGTTCTGAAACTCTAAGCTGCTAAAATACAGAAACAAAAAATGTGCGCAAACATGCGGAACCAGGTACATCTGAAATATCTGATGAAGTTGTTTTAATAAACTTTCTTTGTTTTTAAATAAAGCATTTTAAATGCCACGATAATCAAATTTAAAGAATTTTAATGCCAATTAAGGCCTTAATTAAAAAAAAATAATAACTTAATGACTTTTAATGCTTTTTAATGACCGGCGGAAAGTAAAAAATTTAGCCTCACCTATTTTTTTCCAAAATAAAAAACTTCAAAACACCATGAAACTCCAATTAAAACTCTGGATGAACCCTCAGACTTTATAGATCCACATCTTGACTATAAGTGAAGCTAATTTGGACTGAATAAGTTGAAGCATTTTTATTCCACAGAGGTTTTAGTGGGAAGAGTGCTAGGAGGAAATGGGATTTTATCACAATGCCAAAACTGCAAAAATAAATTTTTCACTTATAAAAGGGAATCTGTTTAGATAAATATGCTAATTTCCATTATTGGAGATAATTCTGCATCAGGCAAAGCCTTTGCTCCTAAGATTTAGCCGTTTTATTGAAATTTACCAAAAATATCACCAAACTGAATAGAAAATAAGAATAACAGAGCAAGTAACTATGACCCTTCCTTGAAAAGGCCATTAGGGGACGGGGCTTAAAATGAACACCTGCTGTTGCATTACTATGGAGGATAAAAAGTGCCAAAATTAAATAAACAAATACAGCTTTAAATAAATAATTAAATGTGTCAATAATTAATTAAATGTGGAATTAAAAAATAAATGTGTCACTCATTAATTAAAACCACGTCACTAATATAAAGTGCCACAATTAAGTAAAAAAATACAGCGATAAACAATTAATTAAATGTGTAATTCATTAAATAAATAAGGAATTAAATATATAAATGTGTCATTAGTTTAATAAAATACGTCTTCATTTTATTAAAAAAATATATCTAATTATTTCAGTGTGCATTTAATTATTTCCTGTGTCGCAGTGCATCGAAACCATTAAAAGAATCTGTCAAACTCAGCCATCAAAGTTAGGGGGCGGTTATCTAACACCTGATTGGTCACCCTGCACATTAAGGCGAAGCAAATCGATTACAGAGACTCGATTTGCGTTAACCCCGCCCCCTAACTTTGATGGGTGAGTTTGACAGATTCTTTTAATGGTTTCGATGCACTGCGACACATGAAATAATTAAATGCACACTGAAATAATTAGATATATTTTTTTAATAAAATGAAGACGTATTTTATTAAACTAATGACACATTTATATATTTAATTCCTTATTTATTTAATGAATTACACATTTAATTAATTGTTTATCGCTGTATTTATTTATTTAATTGTGAGACTTTATATTAGTGACGTGGTTTTAAATAATGAATGACACATTTATTTTTTTAATTCCACATTTAATTAATTATTGACACATTTAATTATTTATTTAATGCTGTATTTATTTATTTAATTTTGGCACTTTTTAATCCTCCATACATTACTGCCGCAGAGTCACACATGTCAGGTGGAATTTTACATCTCGTTTTTATTTATTAATTTTTTTTTTTACACAGCTATAAAACAAAACGTACTTGTGAAAAAAATATTTTAAAACATGTTTTGGAACTGTTAGCGCCCCATTTGAAAGGCGTGTGGATGAAACACCAGGTGACTGTGTTTGGGCCATTTCTTTAAATAGATAAACAGCAGCAGATGTCAGTTGGGCCCATTAGCGGGCCTGCCGGGCTCAATGACATTTTTATGTTTTGGCCTAATTTTAAAAACTGAAAACAGAAAATAAACAGTTTGGTGCTTAAAATGGAGACAGATTTCTTTTTGCAGATATTTAAAAAATAAAATAAAGTTTTAATATTTGTAGCTCTGTACAGTTTTTTGTTTGGCTGTACTGGGAGTAAAATGGCTGTTGATTTTTTAATACTTTATTTTCCACTAGCATCACATAAAGGACGTATTTCTGATGGTTTCTCACCACGATGGTCCCCTCCTTGCCGTGGCCGCGGTGGAACTGCAGCAGGTCTTTGAAAGGAAAGTCGCAGATGACGTCCGAGTTGAGGACGAAGAACGGCTCGTTGTCCACGTTCAGCAGCTCTCGGGCCAGAGCCAGGGGCCCCGCTGCAGAAACACACGCAGTTTTAACGCCTGCTGCATTTCTAACTAATGAAATGTGTAAAAAATATTCTAGAGATTCTGACTTTAAATCAAATATTTACAGAGTTTCTGTCTTTTTTGTGGCCCTTGCTTTCCCATCTGTAAACATCTACATGAAGTCTATTAATGCACCTTGTTGCTTTGCACACGTTCTTGTATCTAAAACAACCCTCAGCCACATTTTGCCTGAAGGAATGAAGGACCTCACCAGTTCCCAGAGGCTCCTTCTCATGAGACAGAGAGATCCGGATGCCGAGCTGAGGAAGGAAACAGGGAAGCAGTCAGGAAAACTTTGGATTCGCAAAAAGATGCATTAAAGGAAAAGTCGCTCATTTTCAGAATTCAAACTTCTGAAAGTTCTTTAAATCTGAAATGATTCCATCCTGTTCAATAAATGATCAGTGTTTTTAATTCAGAGGACTTTTCATGTGAATGTGCTTTACTGGAGGCGTCCATGTTTGTCAAAGAACACTACTGCCACCTACTGGTTAGTGACGTCACGGTGCGGTATCGGCTGTTGATCAAGTCCCAGTGCTGTATCTGGTGTTTGTCACAACGCGCTATTATCCAAGTCATCTTGAAAACATTCTTCTTCCAAATGTTGGCTACATATTACGTGTTTTTTCTCTGGCCAGAAGTTCGATGGCAAATCCTCCCTCTTCAAGTTGGCGATCCAACGACCAACCCGTCCGTGGAGGATCAGGAATCAGAAAGGTGGAATAACTCTTTTTTTTTTCTTTTACCCGATGTATTCCAGCATCCAGCTGCCATGCACGTGGGCATTGTCAGTTTCACTATAGCTCTGGTGAATTTCAATGGTGAAGTCCTCTGGAAATCTTCAATAATTGTTGTTGATTGCAGATGTGTCTAGTAGTTCCCATTGATTTAGCTTGTAAAGCGGGGAGAATGGCGCTAGGCTTACCGCACCGTGACGTCACTGCTGGAAGATGGCAGGAGGGAGGGGCTACTATATTTGGGCAAAAATGGCCGCTCCCAGACTCCCAGATTTACACTAAATTCATTAAATCACGTATCAAATGATCAAACGTATAAAGGTATGAATAATGATCCAGTGGTCATTCCTTGCTGACTGGACTTTTAAGACTTTTTTAAAGATTAATCTCAAAGTTTAGAATCAACAGAAATGTTCTGTTATAGTTTATTAGATTTCAGCTGATCAATAAGATGATCTGAAGATGTCCTTAAATCAGATCATTAATTAGGTCCTTGAAATAAGGTCATGGAATTATTTCTTGTTTCAAATATAAAACATATATTTTCCAATGATCAAATGATTTTATCTAAATGCTCCAAAAAAGAGAAAATACTTTTTTTTTTTTTTGCAGAGTAGTGAGACTTAAGATCATTTGACACTGAAAAAGTAGATATTTTTCAAATAGATCTTTTCCTTTTACTTTGAGCAGGAAAATAAGATGATCTGAATATAGAAGGAGGATTTTTCCTCTTAGAATAAGATCAATAGGAGTTTTTTTAACGTTAAATGTTATATATTTTATTGGCAGATGTCGAATGTTCAGTTAAAATTCCTTAAAAAGGAGAATTTTCTGTGAAATCTGGTTTCTTCAATCCATGGAAAGAAACGTTGGATAAGAACGATAGTTTTACTGTCGCCGATGAATCCGATGGTTGAACAGTTGAACTGAATGTAAGTGGAAGGGAATTGCGGCGGGTTTTGGAACTCACCCGCTGCTCCTGGACTCTCATCTCTCTCTCCAGCAGCTCCGACATGTAGCTGACAGCCAGGACTACGTGGTTCACCCCGGCCTGCAAACAACGGACCCAGGGACACGGCGACCGATCAATAGAGTTCAACATCAACCCGGTCAGCATCGCCAGCGGCTCCTCCTCACCTTGACCAGCGCCTCCACCTGGTGCAGCAGAATGGGCTTGTTGCAGAACTCCACCAGCGGTTTGGGGACGCTCAGGGTGAGCGGCCGCAGCCGCGTCCCGTAGCCGCCGACCAGGATCAACGCCTTCATCCTTCAGCCGTTAGCAGCAGTGAGAAGAGATGGAAGGAGGGGGGGGGACGGGGGATGCCTGAGAAAACGGAGGAAACCAAGAATGATGAGCTGGACTTCAAACAGCTGCTTCAATTCATCATTAATTCTGTTTAAACGCCTGGAGACACATTAGAGCCTCAGTTAGGTTGACAAGTTTTCTATTTATTCTAGAAAAGTCAGAATCTTTCTTCTCAAATATCAACTCAGCACTAATAAAACGTTCAGTTTGCATATTTCACATCTTGAATTTTTCCGTTATTTTTATTATAAAACTTAAAAATGATTCATCAAGCTCTGCCACCGTCAAATTTAAGCAGCGGCAGAGGACGGATCTCACAACAGCAGAAATAATAATTTAATCGCATCAGCTGAAAAGATTTTACCCAAATTCTAATAAACTTTTACAACAAAAACGTTCACTAGATGGGGGGTCATAAAGTGGACATTGTGAGAGGATTTTCACAATCATTGTGAGCCCTGAGGTACATATAGGAGCAAAATGTATCGTACATTATATAAATATGAATGCCACATTAAAATCTGTTAATGTTATACTTAGTTATTTCTCTAATACAATATTAAAATATTTAATACTCTAATAAATGCTTCATTAAATAAATCTAAAATGATTAATTTAATTATTAAATATCATTAAAAAAAATTAAAGATGTTTAGTGAACGTCATGTTCATAAATCAAGTAATTATGTGTATTTTTATGCGGTCGTTATGCTTATTTTTGGAATCAGGGCTGCAACTAGTAACTGTTATTTTCCAAATCAATTAATCTGTTAATTATTTTTTCAATTGTTTTATTATTAAATGTATATCCAAAGATTCCTTAATGATAAGACTTTTAATAAAGTTAAACCAGGTAAAACTAAAACTTTCTCACTTGAGGAGTTCTAAATAGAACAGATCGACAGACTTTCTTTTAAATCTTAAATGCAAAATGTTGATTATTTATTTATTTTATGATTTTTTATTTTTTTTTAAATATTGGTATTATTAAGTACTCTAAGTGGATTTCTCTATCATTTTTAGAGTCTCTAAACTCCAGTTAAGGATTAATCAATTACTAGATTAGTTGATGATTAATTAATCAGATTAATTGTTTCAGCCGTAGATTACAGGCTGAAATGTTTGGGAAGTTAGGATAGGCTGAAACCTTAGAAAACTATAAAAATGGTTTAAAAATCATTCCAAAAAAGTTTAAAAAATAAATAAATAAATAAAAAAACAATCCACTGGACTTTGTTTCCATGTTTGAAGATGTTTCTCTTCCATCCTGGAAGCTTTTTTTAATCAAAATGTCAGAAATAGAGTTTAGTTCCAGGTTTTATATAGTAGCCCAAACTCTGGGCTCTTTATAAACTATTATAAATAAACAGTTTGTAACTCAGCTTCATCTTAAAAACAGCGAAACCATCGATCTGCCAGTTTATTTCAGCTGGGATGGAGTGATGTTAGGAAACATGTCTGCTGTCAAACTGTGGACTCTGGTCACATGATTTCATTCGCTCATAAGGAAATCAGGCATGACTTTTATTTAAATCTGTGTTTCTGACTCCATGTGTGGCTGTGAAGCTTCAGCACATCCAGTTTCTGAATAATATCTGTCAACAAAACAAAACAAAACAGCTCAGATGATAAAAACTGGGACTTTTCAAAGAAGTTTGATTTAAGAAAGGAGAATTGGTGCCATCATTTACATAAAAACATTGAACCAGGAGTAGAAATTATTTATGGATCTATAATGTTCTAAATTTTATTTTATTTAGCTAAACTTCTCATGTTTAGTTTAATCAACAGACTCATTTTTATCAGGTTTTGCTTTCATAAAGCATTTTATTCCTCTTTACAGCTCACCTAATCAGAAAATAACCTTCATTTTGATATTATACTATATTTGATATAACATAAATATATATATATGACTCTTTTAATAAATTGTAAAAAATTAACATGTTTTTAGATGATCAATACTTAAATTATCACCAGAAATGAAACTAGACGCTCCATTCCCAGAAAGTTTGTCAAAATCTTCACCAAACACAGAAGCTAAAGTCTAAATAGCAAAACCCTAAAATATAATAGAGTCTGAATAAAAATAGGTGAATAAAATAAAAGCTGAAATCAAGTTTCATGGAGTTTGAGCTCAGCTAGCTGCTTTAGCTTGATTTATATGGCAGAATAGATCAGAAACTGGAGGCTAGCAGCTGATTAATCAGGTTTCGTGAGTAAATAACTGTGTGTAAATAATTTAGAGGGATTAAAACTTACTGTGAGCTGACCAATGAAGATGCTGGGTAGATTCCTGAATGACTGAAACTCTGAAAATGACACGTAACATTCCTCAAACCCGAATCCCTTGTTTGGCTTCCGGTTCAGCAGCTTCCTCTCGAAACGCCGGAATTACACATTCAACATCCGGTCAGTACTTTCACAATAAGGGCCGTTTTCGAAACAAGTCAAACATAGTTTTTTACATCAAACGTTAGAGGTATTTTTTTTTTTATGTCTTAATTTTTTTTATAGATTATAATTGGAAAGCTACGGAAGAGGATTAGGGCCCTTGAAAAAAAAAGTTTAAAAGTTAACTGATTTAAACTCAGAATTCTGAGATTAAAGGCAGAATTCTGACTTTTTTCCCCATGTTAAACTGAAATACAATTTAAAAATCATTTAACTTTTTCTTTTTCCCAGTGGCCCTAATCCTCTTCCGTAGAAAACTAAATAATATAATGCTAAAATTATTATCATGAAATAGTTATAAGCAAAAAAACAGCAAATAAAAAATATTAAAAATGTTTACCATCCATTGAAACAGAATCAGAATCGGGTTTATTGCCATTGTTAGTGAAGGAGTTCACAACTAGGATTTTTTTATGGTACAATCGTGCAACATGAAACATATAATATGAAATAGGTAAATAAAATTATAAAAATCTCTAAAAACACTGGGGTATAAGGCATGCAAAAAATATACTAATATATACACTTAGGATAAAAATATGGATAAATAAAAAAAATACATATAAAAAGTAAAATGTACAAGGTAATTGTAGACACATTAAAGCAAACTCTGACCATCTGCTCAACTTCCAAAGATTCCACTTTAAACTCTTGATTATAGGGAGTTAAAGTGAATATTTCAAATGCTCTGCTGTAGTTTTCCAGGCCAGTGAACATTTTATTTTCTATCTGATGTGAGCAGCTGGACTGATTGATAAAGGGGCTGAGATAGATCTTCCATAGATCTCTTAAATTAAGAACATTTTCCAGCATCTTGAAGTCATAGTGAGAGGTTTATCATAGTAAGGAGGTTTATCATAGTGAGAGGTTTATCATAGTGGGAGGTTTAGCCAGTAAAACGGTGAGATTTCGAGTCAGCAGCAGTATCCCATCACACTGTTTACTCTGTAAATTAGTTGTTATTTCATTTGAGGGAAAAACAGGAATGAACTGGTTCTTAAAAATGTTGTTTAGTCTCACACGCTTAAACTTTTTTTTTACTCTTTTATATTCTTAACAATAAATTTCATTTAACATCTGACAGACAGAGATGAAACATGAAGTAGGATCTTATGTGCAACATTAAAGGATTTTATTTAGGAGGAGCAAACTGTTTCAAATATATTATTTATAAATGCAACCAACTCATCCTATTGTGGTATGTTGTTTTCAGATATACTAATGAGTATTTATCTATTTAGCCTGTCAAATAATTGCACTCTTAACACAGAATCTATCATCCATAAAAAAGAAAAAAATCCAAATTGTTGTATTTTTGTGTATAAAAAGAAAGTAAAAATGTATCATATTATAAATTTTTTTTTTTTCAGAGCATGAAATCTCCAAAATTAATTATAGAGCACTTTTCATAGGCTATTCCAAGTAACATTATTTAGCATGTGATTCCCTTGACCTCTAAATGGCATCAAAATACTAAAGTTTATGTCAAAACAAAAAGTCTCATTTAAACATAATTACAGGGAATTGACAGGGGCCTTTTTTTGTTTGGTGCAATAACTCGAGGGGTAGAGAATAAAAAAGAAATTATCTTCTAGTAAAATTATTGTTTGTTGAAAACTGTATTAGTTGTGCAGAGGTAGGTTGGTGAAGTCAAAGTACAACAAACTCTGCTCAGTAGCCTATTTCATTTCATTACTTATTTATTAACTTACTTCACTATGTGCAAAAATACGGTCCTGTGCAAAAATTGCAATTTGTAATTTTGTACATGTCGATTGCATATACTGTGACCCTTATCTTATTTTATTCTTATATCTTGCTTGCACTTACAATCTTATTTTTCTCTCTTCTGTAAACGATTAAACTGCAAGGACATAATTTCCCGCAAGGCATTAATAAAGTAAATCTGATTCTGATTGCATTTTATGCCAAATTTTGGCCAATTATTCTGTTTCCGGTTTCAATGCCTAATGCTGACTAGCTTGACTGTCAATCTTAATGAATCGGGGATTTTAAACAAAACCGGAACCAAAATAAAAATCTAAATATATCCAAAGTTTAACAATTATCTAACTCTAGAAACTTTGTATGATTGCTTGTTTTCACTAAATACTCGTGTCTATTTGTTCCAGGTGCCGCAACCATTCGCTAACATTTATTCAGACTTTTCTTTTCCCCCTTTATTGTTACATCATGGTACGTCCCAAACAATTTAATCCCGCCCACTTCCCTCTTCTGACCAATCAGAGAAAAACAGCGTGGCGAGAGCAAGAAATTAAAGGGAAAGTCGCAGCTATTCCTAAATTACTGTAAACATGATTTCTCTCCTTATAATAAACCCACATTGAACAATAAATAAATATAATCTGATTAATAAGAAATCCTTCTATTAAGATTGACTGAATCAAGGGATATAATAATTAATGTTTCATCTGATAGTAAAGGTAATATAGTGTATTTTGTAGATTATGTCATAAATATTCTGTGCTGCTGCCACACATCTGTAGAATGCCCTCCACCTCAAACCCCTTTAGATGTTTTTCTCTCTTCTAAAAATAGCTTTTTCATGCTTTTCTTTTTTTTGATAGCTTTTGATGGAAGCGCTTTATAAATTAAATGTCTTATTATACAAATATAGTTATAAATTGTGATGTCATCGATACAATCCCACCTGAGCTGATTTGCTCTAATAAAGGATCGTTGTAAACAATCTGACACCTGGATGACTTTGGTTTTTCAGACTTAGACAAACTTTATTGTCGTTTTGTATACAGATATATCTTTATATACAGATATCCATATACACTCACCGGCCACTTTATTAGGTACCCCATGCTAGTAACGGGTTGGACCCCCTTTTGCCTTCAGAACTGCCTCAATTCTTGGTGGCATAGATTCAACAAGGTGCTGGAAGCATTCCTCAGGGAGTTTGGTCCATATTGACATGATGGCATCACACAGTTGCCGCAGATTTGTCGGCTGCACATCCATGATGCGAATCTCCCGTTCCACCACATCCCAAAGATGCTCTATTGGATTGAGATCTGGTGACTGTGGAGGCCATTTGAGTACAGTGAACTCATTGTCATGTTCAAGAAACCAGTCTGAGATGATTCCAGCTTTATGACATGGCGCATTATCCTGCTGAAAGTAGCCATCAGAAGTTGGGTACATTGTGGTCATAAAGGGATGGACATGGTCAGCAACAATACTCAGGTAGGCTGTGGCGTTGCAACGATGCTCAATTGGTACCAAGGGGCCCAAAGAGTGCCAAGAAAATATTCCCCACACCATGACACCACCACCACCAGCCTGAACCGTTGATACAAGGCAGGATGGATCCATGCTTTCATGTTGTAGACGCCAAATACTGACCCTACCATCCGAATGTCGCAGCAGAAATCGAGACTCATCAGACCAGGCAACGTTTTTCCAATCTTCTATTGTCCAATTTCGATGAGCTTGTGCAAATTGTAGCCTCAGTTTCCTGTTCTTAGCTGAAAGGAGTGGCAGCTGGTCTGGTCTCCTGCTGCTGTAGCCCATCTGCCTCAAAGTTCGACGTACTGTGCTTTCAGAGATGCTCTTCTGCCCACCTTGGTTGTAACGGGTGGTTATTTGAGTCACTGTTGCCATTCTATCAGCTCGAACCAGTCTAGCCATTCTCCTCTGACCTCTGGCATCAACAAGGCATTTCCGCCCACAGAACTGCCGCTCACTGGATGTTTTTTCTTTTTCGGACCATTCTCTGTAAACCCTAGAGATGGTTGTGCGTGAAAATCCCAGTAGATCAGCAGTTTCTGAAATACTCAGACCAGCCCTTCTGGCACCAACAATCATGCCACATTCAAAGTCACTCAAATCACCTTTCTTCCCCATACTGATGCTCGGTTTGAACTGCAGGAGATTGTCTTGACCATGTCTACATGCCTAAATGCACTGAGTTGCCGCCATGTGATTGGCTGCTTAGAAATTAAGTGTTAACGAGCAGTTGGACAGGTGTACCTAATAAAGTGGCCGGTGAGTGTATATCTTTAACAGTTTACAAAACTACATTCCGTTTAGCACAGGTCTCTGACTTTTCCATTTCTAAAAGTGCAGCAGTGATCAAACTAAACCTTGTGGGAGATAAAAATAATGAATATGTTCAGTTTGATGCAGTCTGTGACATTATTTAGTTGTTTTTTTTTTTTCTTCAACATTCAGTTGTCTGATGGCAGTGGGGAAGAAGCCATTTTGGAACCTGCTTCAGATGTGCATTGTCCAAAAAATTTGTTTTTACATCTCATTTACAGAGAAAAGATTATGGTTATTGTTTCCCTAGTACCCAGAGGATCCTTCAGACCGAGTTCTGCACTCGGGTTTAAGGACTCAGACTTTCTGCATGAAGGTTATTTTTGTAGATTTCCATCAGAGCATCTCAGCAAACTGACTGGTTGTTTATTTTGTCTTAATTAACTCACAAAGAAACCAGAGACTTCAGTTTATTTCAAGTTACAATAAAATAACATTTACAGCTCCTCCTTAAATTATTAATAATCATTGAAATCAATTTTAATGTTTCCTCTGTGAAGAAAATAAAAAAAAACCTGGTAGTTGAATTACCAAATAAAAAAATGTAAGTTTCTGGGATTGTATTATATGACATTAGGGCCAGACTAGAGATTTTTTATTTTCTTTCTTTTTGAGGATAAAGTTATGAGAATAAAGTCGTAAAATTACAAGAATTATATTAAATAGTATTATGAGAATAAAGCTAAAAAATGATGAGAATTGTGTCATCAAACAAAAACCCGTTTCAGAAAGAAAGCTTGGAGCTCCGCCCACCTGCTGACGGCCGACCAGCTCCACCAATCAGCAGCCAGAGTCCACTTTGACCTCCTGCCCAGTTTGATGCTGCTGCTAAAAGATTTCCTGATTTGTCAAACCGATGCTAAAGTAGAACTTCACATGATGCTCCACATTCCTCCTTTTAGGGAAGAAGAAAGGGCTTCTTGGAAGAGATGACATAAAATACTTGTTTCTTGTAATATAACAACTTTATTCTCGAAATAAAAAAAAAAAAAATCTCTAGCCTTTCCCTAAAACTTTGTCCTATTATGATCAAATTTAAAGCTGCAGAAACGTTTTGTAAAAGGATTAAGGAAACAAATAAAGATTCATCAGGTTGAGCAGAAACATACTATAATAATATTATAGTTGTGATCTAATGGGAAACAATAAATATTCAAACTTGCCTCTTTAATTCATCAAAAATGTCCTGAAATTAAAACAGCAGCTGCATCTGTTGGTTAATAATCAAGAGAAAAACGATCATGGTAGTGCTCTGTATTAAAATGAGCCGACGCTCCAAACACTGAACATCAGTGATGAAAATAAATCGCTCCGATTTTTTTCCCTAAATAGAACCGCCATGACTTCCTATCGATGTCTTCTTCGTTTCCAGAAAACTGCAGCATGAACATGTGACTTCAAAAGCAGCAAAATCAAATCAAAGCGTCTCAGGGGGTCAGAGGTCACGGGTTCCATCGGAGGTCACAAACCAGCGCGATGTGGTCGGAGGGGTGAGCCACGCTGGGCAGAGCCTTGTAGGTGGTGACCTCCTGGTGGCTGGGCAGAGGGATCACCTGCTCCACCTGCAGGACAAAAATAAAACAGCACCTCAACGAGCCAAAATAATACCGAGTTTTTATTCCCCCCCCCCCGAATAATCATCCTCATTTAAGGGCAGAATAAATGGCCGGACCCAAAAAACAACAATGAAATTTTAGCAAACATTTGCTGTAGAATCTTTTCTAATGAGCTAAATCAGAGGACCCAGCCTGATTTGAAACAATTATAAATTACCGCACGATTTCCGACGGCAGTGTCTAATTTTACTTGCTCTGTTTCTCCTGTTAATACGGTAAAGCCCTGGGGAGCGTCCGGCTCCAGGCTGCACGTGATCCAAATGAGCCAATGAGCTGCTGTCAGTCTGGGTTGCTGCTGCTGCTACTTTTAGTGGGCAGTACTTTCCTTCAAGACTGACGACGATTGTTTGCAACTTTCAGAAACTTTAGATTGCATGAAATTAATAAAATGTAAAATAACAGCAAATATAGGTAATAATATGTTGAGAGTCAAAATGAGATTCGATCCTTAAGAAACGGGTGCAATACAGTTTGTCTGAAGGGGAGTTGCCATATGACGTCATAAGAAGGGGCGGGGCCCCGAGCAGATCTGGTACCTACACAGACAAGATGAAAAAGAGCAGAGATAGTGCGGACTGCTATTTGGAGATCAGGAAACGGTTCATTGTCAGATTCTGGATTTCCCATTTACCCAGACCTTCAGCTTTATGTCCTTTGGATTTCCGTATGCACGAAAAAAAAAAAGAAACTATGTAATATTCGCGTAAAAATAGAAGTAAAACATGAAACTACCTGCATGCTCTCTGGCTGTATGAAGACGTAGTCCAAGCAGCCGTGAAATCCTCCCACATAGTTAGTGTAAGCCGGCAGTCCGCAGGCGCTGAGCAGAGGAGGGAAGCTGGAGCTCAGCTCCATGCAGCAGGACACCTCTGGGCCTGAGCTGCTCCAGTCTGCGTGCTGCTGAGGAACCGCCGCCTCACTCAGCAGCTGCACCACACCTGAACGCAAGAGCTGCACACTGAACCAGAGCGCCTTACGCCTGCAAAGCTGCTGCTCTGGTGGGAACTTACCTGAGTTTGGGGTGGAGTTGAAGTCCCCACAGAAGAGCAGCGGAGCTCCAGGCGCGACGTCGCTGATGACTTGGCTTAAGTGCCGCAGAGCCACGCCCATTTGGACCAGGCGAACATTTCCTCCTTCAAAGTGAATTAAAGTTTTAAAGGTCTGCGATGGCTTCACGGTAGGGCTGTGCCATAAATCCAATATACTCCAGTTTTCCCACGCACACATTCACGCATATTTAAATGTTAAATCATTCTGGCTTAAACATGTATATAAATGTACACTTTATCAGACAATATTGTCTATAAATTAAAAACATTTCTATTTATTTTTTTTCTCCGTTATCTTCTGCAGGCCAGTTAGTTCTACGTCAGCCTGAACACCTAAATTCGGCCAATCATATATCAACGGTCATCTGTCAATCAAATGTTTTCGGTCATAGCATTTTGATTCATATGTCGCAGCTTATATACGCAACGGTTGAAACCAGAATCCTTTCCTTTCCCATTGAGTTGCGTCCCAGTGTTCACGGGGATGGACGTCTGTGTCTTCAGCAGGCGTAGAGCTAACAGAACTGGCAGCGTTGCGAGGCAAGGGCTCAAACATGTACGGCTGGAAGCCTTCTACACCAAACCAAGCTTCTGCCGCCCTGGCGTCCTCTTCCACAACATCTTCGTCCCCGCTTTCCTCCTCTAAATAAAAAATGGATGATGGAGGAGACTCATCCACGACCTCCAACACTAAACTCTCCTCCTCTTGCATGTTTCCTCTGTCCATAGCGTTCCTTGACAGCGTCGTTTCTAAGTCACCAATTTAGTGATACTTGGTCCCAATGGAATTTCCCATTGGGAACCTACTAGCACTAAGTTGCTAACTGGTTAGCAAGATGCTTCCCACAAACCGGCCACAACCAAACTCTCTTATGAACCTTCCATCACAACAATCCCGCCCCCTTGATAATCGACCAATCACATTCAATTTATTCACTCATGTAATGTCGTGCACTACTCGGGAGAATTTGGAAATGCAACGGTTGGAACAGTCGCTTCCTTACGACTTTGAGGGTCTAATTCTGACCCACAAGGACATCATTTGGCAGAAAAGCTTTGGTCTGGTTAAATACAATAAAATAAAACATTACCCCATTTACGCTACCCTTAAAAAAGCGTGCCGAGACCGGTCCGAGCTCAGTAACTGAGATAACTTATGGTGTGTAAATGGAAAGCAAACTGAACTGAACCGAGCTAGACACAACCGGACCAAGCTAACTGCAGACCAGTTCCAGAGGTGGGCTCGGCTCGGTTTTTCCCTGGCTCGGTTTTCTGATAACAAGAGCGCATGAGCAGAATGCGTCATCTCCGTCTGGCTGCACATCGCGATTCACACTCCATTCCAGTAGTTGGCGCTAATGCCCCTCCAGAAACAGAAGAAGATGAACGACTTCTTCTTTAACTATAAACAACAATCCAAAACTTCTCCACGCAACATTTTAAATAATAACACCGAAGTACAGCAATAATAATCAAGCATAACTTTCTGAATGTGACGGGCACCGCCATTTTGATTTGCTTGATTTCCTCCTTCAATACTGGCAGTAATACCGCAGATCGTCACTAGGAGGCGAGGAACCGAGATAGTGTGATGTGTAAACGGTCATCAGAACCGAGCTCGGCCTGGTTCTGATCCGAGCTCGGACCGGTCTCGGCATGGATCGGTTTTTCAAGGGTAGTGGAAATGATTCAAAATTTTGAATCAGTTAATGTTTATGCACTCTACTATTTTAAAAGTAATTTAAACATATGGTGATATATATCGTTTATCGAATTAAAGCCCAGATATGTCATGATTTCCTTCATACGGCACAGCCCTACTCAGGGCCGGCGATTGCTACAGGCGAGCTAGGCAATTGCCTAGGGCGACAAATGTGTTGGGGGCGCCCTCTATAGCGTCGCCCTTAGGCTTACTTCCCATTAATCATAGAATTAGGAAAAAAAGCGAATTAAACCGGTTATGAAGCGTCCGTCAGTTTGACTTAACCTTACGTATATATAAATAGCAAAATATGAACAAATAAATATACCACCGTTTTTTTATTTATTTTTTTCACATTTAAGAGAAAATCGGAAAAGATTCTGATCACTTTTCAAGCGCTCTCCAACCCGGAAGTCGTGACGTCAATCACTGCAGCATGTACACCAATATTTTGGAATGAAATTGTAAGCAAACAGATATTAAAAGTAAAACAAGTGAATTCTGACACTTAACTTTGCTAGCGACTCGAGGATGGCTGAACGGAAAAGACTCCTCCTCCTCCTCCTGCAGCTGCAGTCGGGCCCGTCTACATCATCCACTCAGAGTACCACTGGTTAGCGCGCACAGACTTTGTAGCTTGTCCGGTCAGTTAAAAATATTAATTGTGAAATCCGTGTTGTAATCGGCAGCATACAAGCTAGTTAGCTTGAAAAGTAAATAAAGTTTCAGACGTGCTGCGTGATGATGTGTTCAGATTGGCTCAGTAAAACGACAATTAGGTTATCATGATGCGTTCAAGTGTAACGTAAAGAAAACGGGAAATTTAGTTTTTGGCGAGAAACATGAGTAATACAGTATTGCTCTATATATAATTAAACTACTGATGCCAACATTTATTAAAAATTACATTTAATTTAAAATACAATTATTTATTTGTTAAATATTTTCCTAATCACTAAAAACATGATGAAAAGTGACAGTAGACAATACATTAACCAACAATTGTGAAAATATATTCTAGTTAGTTTTATGTCATTTCAAAGTGGCCTATTACATTAGCCATGTTTATTGAAGGCTAGAAACGTTTTTGTTATGCTCACTTGTTAAGCAATAAAAGCAATACCAGTTCTGTTAAAAAAATGTTGTTGCATCGTCTTTCCACCAAATAACAGAAAAGTATCGATAGTGGTATCGATAAAGACTCGGATCGATAAGGAGTATCGATAAAGGTATCGATATCAATAAATATTAACGATCCCCATCCCTAATGTTGACATAATTTTTTTCTCAGTATATATGCAGCAGAATTATGTGCTATATTATTAGCTTGAGAATGGGTAGAAGATACTAATATAAATAAAATATTTTGTAGTGATTATCTGCATTGAGTATTCAAAAGGGATGTACAAATAATCATCAAAATATATGAAGTTATGGCTGTTCATCATAGAATATGTGAACAAAAAAAAAACAACAACTTCGAACTTTTAATTTTGTAATGGTATTCATAAAAGCACTTTTGTTTGTAGAGGGTTAATCCTTTCTTTAATCACTAATCAATGTCAGAAATCAGGGTAAATATACCTGATATATTTTATTTAGAGGAAAATTTTGTTTATCTCATTTCTATTTATGTTCAAATGATTTAATTGAACTGGAACAGAAAATTTAATTTAATGTTTATCAATTACTTTTTTATGTAGTCCTTGGTTGAAGAATTTCTTAAATGTATTATTTTTTATTGTTATTTGGTAATTTCTGAAATTGATTTATTTAATATTTGTTTAATGTGTGTTAAATTTGTTAATTGTCTGAAATAAATTCATTCAATGATTCAATCCAGTTTTTTAGTTATACTTTACCTAAGTGTCCTTACAGATGGTTAAAAGTGTTTTTGCACAGTCCTAACTTTGAGTGTGTAATAAATTATTTAAAATAATAAAAAAGAAAAGGTACTGAAACCTATTCTGGTATTTGTCTATGCATCACTCCATGCTAAGTTACAGTTTTTTCTGAATGCTTAAACACAACCTTGATTCTTATAGCACAATTTCTAAAACTATTAATACTTATAACAAATCCACAGCAATCCGACGTCGAGAATCAAGAATCCACCTTTCGTATTCCATTTTCAGAGTTTTTGAAAGTGTTTAACATAGACGTTAGCACCTCGACGTCGGAGTACACAGAGTGAAGCGAAAAGACTACAACTGTGTAAACAGGCCCCATTTCCGTTTCCGGTGGCGGAGGGATATTGACTATTCCTACAGAACTCAATGGGATTTACAAAATGCTAAATAAAACACTACAGGAACGTTTTTTCTTCACGAAACTTTTTTTGGAACGTCATTGAACAGCGCTGACGACCCGGTGAGTAGCATATTTTTAAAAAAGAACGTTTAAGGTTGTTTTAAGGACATTATCAGACATGCTCTATGGAAGCCATTCTAAAGCAGCCAGGGGGGGATTCTAAATGAGCCAAAAAGCAGAGACAGGACCAATTGTCAAAACTTTGGTGTCGATCATTCGATTTCATCCTGGACACTACAGAAAATGGGCTTAAAGTGTTAAAAAGTGAACTTCTCCTTTAACACAACTCAATGAAGCACTAAACAGATGCTGAAAACAGTACTGGTATTTCGCACGGCAAAAGTGAGGGGGGGGGGCGCAAAACTCAATCTCGCCTAGGGCAACCAAAGGGCTAGAACCGGCCCTGGCCCTACTTCACGGTCATCAGTAGTAGATGGAGGCCAGTTACCTTTCGGATGCCAGTACAGGTGAGTGTTCGCCACACACACCTTCCTGCCCGGCTTCCCCAGGTCCTCCAGCAAACTGACCTGCAGGTTAAAGGTCAGTTAAAACAGCCCATGGTTGACCTTCAGCCCAGAAATGTCAGAGGTACCTGCAGCGATGTGGATCTCTGCAGGATCTTGTCCTTCAGATCGCCGTTGGCAGAAACCTTCTCTAGCAGCTCAGAGTGGGCGGGATCAGACGCCAAGGCCTCGCTCAGCATGATGTCATGGCGGCTGAGCAGGCGAAACTTTGACCTGAAACACAGCAGGAGGGGGGTGGGTGTTACCGGTGGGGCTGAGAGAAGAAAACAAACCGCTGGTTCCACCTGTTCAGTGAAACAATGGTAAAAAGAAACAATTTCTAAAAAGCAAATCTATGTAGAAGGCTGGAATACTGAGACCAAGATGGAGGAAACTTAAATGAGTAACCTGCGGTAGAAGGTAGCCAGTCCTTCATGCTGCTTCTCTTTGAGCCTGAAGACGCCGTCCAGACCGTAAGCATCCAGAGCCGGACTCAGACTGTCCACAAACACGCCTGTAAGGGTCCAGAACGACCAGAAAACAACTTCAATTCAATATTACGGGTCATTCAAAGACAGAAAAAAAAGGAATTAAAGTGTTCGAGTTTAAAGTAAAAAAAACCCACAAATTTACTAAATTAAAACATACAAATATAACAGAAAAAGTAGCAAATTAACAGAAAACAAAACATGCTAATTTAGGAGAAAAAGGAAGCAAATTTGCAAGATTTGAATATGAATATTTGTGGACCAATGCAAGATTATAAAACACGTTAAAGTTAACGTATGCTACATAAAGCACATGCAAATACACCATTAATTGGAGACCTAAGCAATGGAATGAGACGCTACGATGGCCTCCGGATGGAAGTTTTTAAAGTAAAAATGAATGATACAAGAAATCTGCATGGTTATAATCTCGTAAATTTGCATGTTTTATTCAGCAAAGATCCTGCTACATGGCTGTACATCTTATTTTGGCATTTGACCAATTAGATGAGCCCTTGAATGATGCATTACCTGCAGGAAATTAAGTTGGAAAAAAGTTAACAAGTCAAGAAAAAAAAAGGTAAAAAGCTAATTGAAACTTTAAAAAGTTAATAAGCCTACTTAACAATTATATTTAGGTTTATAAACTAAAAAAAAAATGTAAGTGCCAGTATCAGCATCAATGCCTCAGAGTGTTTTTCGTGAATTTCTTCTAGAAGCACTTTTGTTATTTTTCTTAATATATTCGGGCAAGTTGACGTTTTTGCCATTAAAATATCTAGACTTTTTTAAGTTGTGTTTTTATGCTATGTTTTTTAAGTTATGTTTTGTTAAGTTATGTTTTGTTAAGTTATGTTTTGTTAAGTTATGTTTTGTTAAGTTATGTTTTGTTAAGTTATGTTTTGTTAAGTTATGTTTTGTTAAGTTATGTTTTGTTAAGTTATGTTTTGTTAAGTTATGTTTTGTTAAGTTATGTTTTGTTAAGTTATGTTGTTTTTTATGTTATGTTGTTTTTTATGTTATGTTGTTTTTTATGTTATGTTGTTTTTTATGTTATGTTGTTTTTTATGTTATGTTGTTTTTTATGTTATGTTGTTTTTTATGTTATGTTGTTTTTTATGTTATGTTGTTTTTTATGTTATGTTGTTTTTTATGTTATGTTGTTTTTTATGTTATGTTGTTTTTTATGTTATGTTTTTTAAGTTATGTTTTTTTATGTTATGTTTTTTTATGTTATGTTTTTTTATGTTTTTTTTATGTTATGTTTTTTTATGTTATGTTTTTTTATGTTATGTTTTTTTATGTTTTTTTTATGTTATGTTTTTTTATGTTTTTTTTATGTTATGTTTTTTTATGTTTTTTTTATGTTATGTTTTTTTATGTTTTTTTTATGTTATGTTTTTTTATGTTTTTTTTATGTTATGTTTTTTTATGTTATGTTTATGTTATGTTTTTTATGTTATGTTTTTTAAGTTATGTTTTTTTATGTTATGTTTTTTATGTTATGTTTTTTTATGTTATGTTTTTTTATGTTATGTTTTTTTATGTTATGTTTTTTTATGTTATGTTTTTTTATGTTATGTTTTTTTATGTTATGTTTTTTTATGTTATGTTTTTTAAGTTATGTTTTTTTATGTTATGTTTTTTAAGTTATGTTTTTTTATGTTATGTTTTTTTATGTTTTTTTTATGTTTTTTTAAGTTATGTTTTTTAAGTTATGTTTTTTTAAGTTATGTTTTTTAAGTTATGTTTTTTAAGTTATGTTTTTTAAGTTATGTTTTTTAAGTTATGTTTTTTAAGTTATGTTGTTTTTTATGTTATGTTTTTTAAGTTGTTTTTTAAGTTATGTTTTTTAAGTTATGTTGTTTTTTATGTTATGTTTTTTAAGTTGTTTTTTAAGTTATGTTGTTTTTTATGTTATGTTTTTTATGTTATGTTTTTTTAAGTTATGTTGTTTTTTATGTTATGTTTTTTATGTTATGTTTTTTTAAGTTATGTTGTTTTTTATGTTATGTTTTTTATGTTATGTTGTTTTTTAAGTTATGTTGTTTTTTAAGTTGTTTTTTAAGTTATGTTTTTTAAGTTATGTTTTTTATGTTATGTTGTTTTTTATGTTGTTTTTTAAGTTATGTTTTTTAAGTTATGTTTTTTAAGTTATGTTTTTTTTATGTTATGTTTTTTTTATGTTATGTTTTTTTAAGTTATGTTTTTTAAGTTATGTTTTTTAAGTTATGTTTTTTAAGTTATGTTGTTTTTTATGTTATGTTTTTTAAGTTGTTTATTAAGTTATGTTGTTTAAGTTATGTTTTTTAAGTTGTTTTTTAAGTTATGTTGTTTAAGTTATGTTGTTTAAGTTATGTCTTTTTAAGTTTGTTTTTTTTAAGTTATGTTTTTTAAGTTATGTTTTTTAAGTTATGTTGTTTTTTATGTTATGTTTTTTAAGTTGTTTTTTAAGTTATGTTGTTTTTTAAGTTATGTTTTTTAAGTTATGTTGTTTTTTATGTTATGTTTTTTAAGTTATGTTGTTTTTTATGTTATGTTTTTTAAGTTGTTTTTTAAGTTATGTTGTTTTTTATGTTATGTTTTTTATGTTATGTTTTTTTAAGTTATGTTGTTTTTTATGTTATGTTTTTTATGTTATGTTTTTTTAAGTTATGTTGTTTTTTATGTTATGTTTTTTATGTTATGTTGTTTTTTAAGTTATGTTGTTTTTTAAGTTGTTTTTTAAGTTATGTTTTTTAAGTTATGTTTTTTAAGTTATGTTTTTTAAGTTATGTTGTTTTTTATGTTATGTTTTTTAAGTTATGTTTTTTAAGTTATGTTGTTTTTTATGTTATGTTTTTTAAGTTGTTTATTAAGTTATGTTGTTTTTTATGTTATGTTTTTTAAGTTGTTTATTAAGTTATGTTGTTTAAGTTATGTTGTTTAAGTTATGTTTTTTAAGTTGTTTTTTAAGTTATGTTGTTTAAGTTATGTTGTTTAAGTTATGTCTTTTTAAGTTTTTTTTTTTTAAGTTATGTTGTTTTTTATGTTATGTTTTTTAAGTTGTTTTTTAAGTTATGTTGTTTTTTATGTTATGTTTTTTAAGTTGTTTTTTAAGTTATGTTGTTTTTTATGTTATGTTTTTTAAGTTCTGTTTTTTTATGTTATGTTTTTTATGTTATGTTGTTTTTTATGTTATGTTGTTTTTTATGTTATGTTTTTTTATGTTATGTTTTTTATGTTATGTTGTTTTTTAAGTTATGTTTTTTTATGTTATGTTTTTTATGTTATGTTGTTTTTTATGTTATGTTGTTTTTTATGTTATGTTTTTTTATGTTATGTTTTTTATGTTATGTTTTTTTTTAAGTTATGTTTTTTTAAGTTATGTTTTTTAAGTTATGTTTTTTAAGTTATGTTTTTTATGTTGTTTTTTATGTTATGTTTTTTAAGTTATGTTTTTTAAGTTATGTTTTTTAAGTTATGTTTTTTTTATGTTATGTTTTTTATGTTATGTTTTTTATGTTATGTTTTTTTAAGTTATGTTTTTTTATGTTATGTTTTTTAAGTTATGTTTTTTTATGTTATGTTTTTTTATGTTATGTTTTTTTATGTTATGTTTTTTTATGTTATGTTTTTTTATGTTTTTTTTTATGTTATGTTTTTTTATGTTTTTTTTTATGTTATGTTTTTTTATGTTATGTTTTTTAAGTTATTTTTTTTTATGTTATGTTTTTTAAGTTATGTTTTTTAAGTTATGTTTTTTAAGTTATGTTTTTTAAGTTATGTTTTTTAAGTTATGTTTTTTAAGTTATGTTTTTTAAGTTATGTTTTTTAAGTTATGTTTTTTAAGTTATGTTTTTTAAGTTATGTTGTTTTTTATGTTATGTTTTTTAAGTTGTTTTTTAAGTTATGTTGTTTTTTAAGTTATGTTGTTTTTTATGTTATGTTTTTTAAGTTATGTTGTTTTTTATGTTATGTTTTTTAAGTTATGTTGTTTTTTATGTTATGTTTTTTATGTTATGTTTTTTTAAGTTATGTTGTTTTTTATGTTATGTTTTTTATGTTATGTTTTTTTAAGTTATGTTGTTTTTTATGTTATGTTTTTTATGTTATGTTGTTTTTTAAGTTATGTTGTTTTTTAAGTTGTTTTTTAAGTTATGTTTTTTAAGTTATGTTTTTTAAGTTATGTTGTTTTTTATGTTATGTTTTTTATGTTATGTTTTTTAAGTTATGTTTTTTAAGTTATGTTTTTTAAGTTATGTTTTTTATGTTATGTTTTTTTTATGTTATGTTTTTTAAGTTATGTTTTTTTAAGTTATGTTTTTTAAGTTATGTTTTTTAAGTTATGTTGTTTTTTATGTTATGTTTTTTAAGTTGTTTATTAAGTTATGTTGTTTAAGTTATGTTGTTTAAGTTATGTTTTTTAAGTTATGTTGTTTAAGTTATGTTGTTTAAGTTATGTTGTTTAAGTTATGTCTTTTTAAGTTTGTTTTTTTTAAGTTATGTTGTTTTTTATGTTATGTTTTTTAAGTTGTTTTTTAAGTTATGTTGTTTTTTATGTTATGTTTTTTAAGTTGTTTTTTAAGTTATGTTGTTTTTTATGTTATGTTTTTTAAGTTCTGTTTTTTTATGTTATGTTTTTTATGTTATGTTGTTTTTTATGTTATGTTGTTTTTTATGTTATGTTTTTTATGTTATGTTTTTTTTATGTTATGTTTTTTATGTTATGTTTTTTATGTTATGTTTTTTTAAGTTATGTTTTTTTAAGTTATGTTTTTTTATGTTATGTTTTTATGTTATGTTTTTTTATGTTATGTTTTTATGTTATTTTTTTATGTTATGTTTTTTTTAATGTTATGTTTTTTTATGTTATGTTATGCCAAAATAAGATGTGCGACCATGTAGCAGGATCTTTGCTGAATAAAACATGCAAATTTACGGGATTATAAACCTGCAGATTTCTTGTATCATTCATTTTTTACTTTAAAAACTTCCATCCGGAAGCCATCGTAGCGCCTCATTCCATTGCTACAGCCTGCAAACTGGATTCCAATGACACTATTAGCTTGAAACTTGGATTTTCAAAGTATTTCACCGAGTGCCCTATAAAGGGTTAAATGATTGCTGTCAATAAAAAAAAAAGAAGTTTTGCATTTGCTGAAAGGATTGAAATGATCTGCAAAATCGATGCTGCAAGGCAGCCGGACCTCCTCTGTCCACCTAACCTGTCAGAGCAGGAAGGAGGGAAACTAAAAGCTTAAACATGAACGACGACGGGGCAGATGAAGCAAAGTTTAGCTGTATTTTCTTTTCCTCAGATGCTGCATTATCCCTGCAAACTGAATTAAAAATAACTGCTTTTAAAACACAGGAGTAAACAGAGAGCTTTCTCTGACTGAGCAGCAGATAACCTTTGATAACTTAAGGAGTTTAATCGGAGGGTGTTTTAGTTCTGACTGATTGATAGGGGCTGATTACCTTTATCCACCTCCTGCAGACAGATGATGTCGGCGTTGTAACCAGCCAGCTCCTTTTTGATCAGGTTCTGCCTGTAGTCCAGCTGCAGGGCATAGGGGGCGCAGTATGGGTAGAGGACCGTCTTGGACAGATCTGTCTGGGCGTAGACGTCCGCCAGGATGTTATAGGACACCACCCTCACCGCCGGCCACTCTGCCAGCTTTAAGGTGTACGCATGACGGTTGTCGAAGGTGCACACGCCTGGCCCCGCCTCCACAGCTCCCACAGAAACCAGCTCTCTGGTCTGACCGCGGCGATGTCCGTCTTTGGGAGTACAGAGCAGCTTGAGCCTGCAGCCGATGTCCTGATTGGACGGGACCAGGACTCTTTCGCATCCGACCTGCATCCATTCGCCGCCCTGAGATGGAGACTCTTCCTGGGCTTCAGGGCTGAAACAAAAGATGACGAGGGGGATGTGGCTGTTAAACTGGCTGGAAACAGAAAAGGCTTTTTGTCTCATTTTTAATCTGTCCTCTTATATTTTGAGAAACGCATCTGTTGCTAAAAGACAATTTCAATTTTATTCAGTTTATTTCTATAGCTCCACTTCACTTCATGTCATCTCAGGTCACTTTCCAGTTCACCAGATCATCCAGTCAGATTGATTCAAAGTTTTCTATCTAAGGAAAACCAGCTGATTGCATCGACTCATTGACTCTTCAGCAATCCCTCACACCAAAGGGCAAATTCTACTTCTGCAGCTGCACACACCAGATGTGGCTTTGGTCTGGTCACAAACCAGTTTTGCTGTTATGCTTCTGCACCGTCGGTCTGGAATTTCTAGGGACGCAAAGCAGTTTCCCGCCAAAGCGCAAGGAGGAGCCTATTTGAGAACTTCGGCAGCGCCGGCGGGAGTGTTTATCTGCCAAAACAACAATGGTGCATCTGCAAGATATCACGGTCACAGAGATGGAACTAGAGTTGCTAGACATTGAAGAGGATGTATTTATTTATAGAATTTGTCTGAGGCATTGTAGGAGTGGTTGTACTTCAGAACCTCCTTGATTATCCTTTCGTCGTAGTTGTCCGTTGTAGTTGTTCCTCGGTTTTTAAAAATGGTCCGCCCTGGCACCGAATCGAGAAGGACGACCACACAGACAGCCGGAAAGGCGTAATAAGGACCAATCAGAGCTGCTCTTTGTCTGCTCACTTCCCCTTGAAGTCTGTGTGGGTTTGGGACTGTTCAACGAGTAGTTTGGATTATTTTGAGGTGCGTGACGATGGTTGCAGAACCTCCATGCGAGGGGCGTGAGAGGCGGAGACGGATTCAACGGTTGCAGAGGCTATGCGTCAGAAGCATAAATTGGCTTTGAACATACTTGTAGCGACAGTGGAGAGGAAAAACTCCCTTTGAACAGGAAGAAACCTCCAGCAGAACCAGGCTCAGTGTGAGCGGCCATCTGCTGAGGCCCACTGGGGTTCAAGGAGACAGAAGCAGACATAGAAAAAGAAGCATAGATACAAAAGGCAACTGTCAAGCAGCTCCACAGGCGGCCCCGTCCAGGAAACACACAGCCAGGCAGACGAGCTCCGAGCCAGCTCCCATGTCAGAGGATGAAGAGAGCACATCCAGTTAGTCACAGTCAGAGAAACAGGACTACACTGGAAAACAGGCCGAGCTCCAACATCTAGAAACAAAGGAGTTGATGAGCTTATATTTGGGGCATTGCAGGCTAACAAAGAAGCCAATCGGCCCCCATTCCAAAGGGGGGGACCCGTTCATCCGTTTCTATTTGCATGTTTTCTAAACTAAAACCAGGCTTTGTTGGGCTGCTGGATAAAACCTGGAACTCAACGCTATTTCTGACATTTTGAATTGAAAAAGTTTCCTGGATGGAAGAGAAACGTCTTCAAACTTGGAAACTAAGTTCATTGAATTGTTTTTAACTTTTTTAAATGACTAGGAGCCTGAACAGACGTTTATAAAACCAGCAACCATCCATCTCTGCTACCTTGGGTTTGTCTGCTTTTCTTTGAACCACAGAAACTCGCAGTCTTGGAGGTTCCCGAACTCCACCTCCAGTTTGGGGCAGACCGGGAATCCGGCCATCAGGGACCGTGGGAGTTCCGCGGTGCTGAAGGTGGGCGCGTTCCTCTGCACGCGGTACTTCACCTCTCCCACCTGCAGCACCGCTCCGTCCTGCCAAGCCTCGGAGTTCGGCAGCGTGTCTGGGACCTCGGTCCCTCCGAAGAACAGTTTCACCACGGCGGGTTCCGCCGCTTCGCTCAGCTGCTCGTCGCGCTTCTTCTTGGACTTCTTCGCCTTGGTCTGGTTCTTAGCGATCGCGTTGGAAATGCGAGTCAGGACCTTCCCCAGCGCCTCGTCCTGGTCCCTCAGCATGTGCTTCTGGCTCTGCTCCAGGCAGAAGGAGATGGTGAGCTTCGGCTCCCCGGGAAGGCACCGCACCACGGCCGCCTCCATCCTGCCACGAAGACGGAGGGCTCTGCTGAAAGTCCGCGGAGTGGGAGAGAGGAGACAGCGGGGGAGCAGAGCACAGGCAGCGGACAGTGGCTTCAACATGAAGCCCTCGGTGGATGGAGGAGGAAACAACCACAAATTCACAGCAGAAGAAGAAGAATCACCAAACGCTGCTACGGCTAGTCGGTTAGCTCTATGCTAAACACCCAATAAAATGGACAATTTATTTTAACTTTCTCTTCAGAATTAAAACAGTCAAAATATATAGATAGCTAATGACCTTAGTGCGAGTAAACACAAGCTGCGTCTTCTTCTACTGTTTCTCACAGTGTTTTCAGATAGTTCCACCGGTACAACAGCGCCCCCACTGGTCAAACGTATAATAACACATATTCCATAACTACTTCTTCTTCTCGTGAGGATTTATGGCGGTTGGCAAACTAGTTACAGTGCATTATCGCCACCAACTGATAAGGAGTCAAACGAGGAAAGAGGAAACAAGACTCACACCCAGAAAAATAAATAAACATTCAATAAAAAAAATGATAGTCTTCCAATCTATATTTTTAACCCAACAAATTAAATACTTAATGAAATTCGTCCTCATAATTTCTAATATATCTTTAAATTATCGTCACTCTGCCAGTTTCTGATGGTCCTATTTTTTCCCCATCAGACTTTCAACTGTTTCCCAGTTTAAACCTCTAACATCAAGATACTTTTCTGCAGTTTTCACTGTAATTTGATATTTCCGTGTTTCCTAGTCATCTGAGCACTACAATCGATCACTTCTACCATGAAAAGAACAAACTCTTTTTAACAATCAATGAATCTCTTGCAGTGTAGGGAGGTTTTAAACCTGTCATTTCCTCCTCTGTTGGTTTGGGTTTTTCTGACTGGGATTAGATTATTTTTTCAGCTTCATCAGAACTTATTCTGAGCTCTAATTTCACTTTTCTGATCTCTTTAGATCTTTTGCTCACTTCACATCCTGGATAAGCAGCAGTCTGTTCTCCACCACAGTTACAGCATTTTATTTTAACTTCTTTCCCACATTTTCCATATTCCTGCTCTCCAGCAGACCTTCCATATCACTGTTTTCCCTTACATGCAGCTGCTATATGACCGAATGTTTGGCATTTAAAACATCTCAGAGGATTGAACATTTTCACATTATAGTTCATATATCCAATGAAAACCTTACTGGGTAATTGCTCCTCTTCAAATGTAATCATCACAGATAAGCTGTCACACCTTTCTCCATTTCTTGTTGTTTTTAACTGTTTCACTTCTTTTACTTTTGCACCACTTATATTTTCTAGAATCTCTTTATCAGTTTCTTTTAGAGGAACTCCTCCAATCCCTCCCCTGCTCCTCCTTTTGTTCTCCATCAAGCTGCACTGAACTCTTTTCCCTCCCTCTTGTTAATACGTATATTTGCCTTGCTGAGGCTCTCTGCAGTTTATTAACAGGTCTCCACTATACAGGATGTTGGCACCCTGGACTCATCCTACAAGTTTATCGTTTTTGTTAACTGGACCTGATTCCAATCTGCAGAACAGTCTCTCTGTTTCACCAGTTTGAATATGACTTTATAATCATTTTGTTTTCCTGTAGAATTTCTAGATTATTCATGACTTGATTGTTCTGAACCGGTATCCCCTTCAACTGATCTCTGCTTTTTCTGCTTTTTCTCATTTTTTGACTTTACTCTCTTCCAATCTTTTTCATTTTCACTATTTCCTTCTTCCATCAAGCAAGAATCGCTTCCTGTTTGCTTGCTACTCCCGATCCGGGACATTTCTCCACAAGTGATTTAGAAACACGGGCCATGTACATCCCAATTACCAACGATTTAACAATCTATTCCATGACTTACTGGACTGATCGTGACTTAATTGGTGATTTCACCAATTAATAATTATTTCCTGTGCTATTTTTCTTTCCCTAAACAATATTTCCTTTGAATTCTGAGTTGTTAAAAAAACAAAGATTTTTTTTTTTTTTTACACAACCACAAAAGAAAAAAAAAAAACTTTTTTTACGTACGGTAGGTTGCAGCCATCTTCTACCTATTTGGAGAGTTTTCTCTAGTTCATTGTCCTTTATGTTGATCAAAATATAAGTCGTGTTTTTAGAATTTTAAAAAATGTTATAGAGTTAATTCGTATTTCCAAAAAGAGAGAAAAACTTTAGATTAGATATTTTAAGTGTCAAATCTTTATTGTCTTTATCTGACTTTTTAAAGTACTAAAAAATCTAGAGTCTATGTTTCTGTTCTTACTATTAAACTTATTGGAACAACAATGACAAAATATTTTTTATATCTTCTCATTTCCTCTCTGGTCAGATATTTGACTTATTTTTATTTAGAAACACAGTATATCATTTCATCTGATTATATAATTCACTCAGGGTTGAAGATTGTCTTTATTTTTTTAAAAAGTGATAAAGAGAAACCAATCCAAGTTTAGCTTTAGATGAATTTCAGGCTGCAAATGCAAAGAGCCGCTTTACAAAGGGACATTTTTTTCACATGAATATTTTTATTAAATGTATGACAAAGATAAATGTCAAAATTCACTCATTTTAATTAGAAAACATGGGAGTTTTATGTTAAAAAAATGAAATCCTGAGCAGAAAGCATATAATACGCTGGTTTTATCCACTGCTGTGTCTCTTTCTTTACATCCCGTTCTTCTCCGTGCAGCTTTCCTCACAGCATCGGTCCAGCTGCTCTGGGCTTTGAGGGAAGTAGATGTCGGCTTTTTGATCGTCGTCATGCTCGATGTGTTTCAGGTGAACGACCATGTGCAGGGCGTAGGCCAGAACCAGCAGCAGGATGAGGGATGTGATGAGGCCCATCAGGATGGCCGGGGTCAGGACGGTGCTGCAGTTGCTTGCAGGAGAGAACCTCCCTGAGCTGATGTTGAATGCTTGGATCTAAACACACGCATATAACCAATAAAGTATGTTAAAGCTCAGCTAAACAGACCCATGTATTGGGATATAATTAGAAAAGCACCTGGAAGTCGATGAAGGTGATGGCCCAGCGCTGTGCCTGCTCAGTGCTGGGCAGTAAGAGGCCGCTGTATCTCTGCAGACTGCTGACGTGCAGGCAGCGGTAGGACGAGGAGGCCGGAGCGTAAACGTCTGTGGCGTTGAAGACGACCTCAGAAGAGTTGGTTAAAACAGAGACTCTGTCCACTGAGAACCACCACTGACCTGAAGACTCGTAAAATGTGTTGGACAGCTGAAATCTGAAGCGTAAAAGAAGAAAAGACGGAACAGACTGGAAATACAGCAGGTTCCGCCCAGTGGTCCACAACATTACATGATGGAGTGACTTTTGTTCCATTTGTCTTCATGAGCAAATAACACATTTTGTTATATTTGAATGTTATATATTTTGTCTATAGTTCTGCTGCTATAGGCTTAGACTGCTGGAGGACATAGGGACCCCTTTTTCACCATTCTGCTTTATTCTATCTCTATTCTCTCACTCTGCAGAATCTGTTAGTTCAATCTCTAACGTTCTGCTCTCTCTGCTTTTTCTCATAGTAGCTTCATCTGGTCTGTTCCTGTTTGGCTGTGACTCCATCCTGGAGAGAAATATCAGCTGTGCTGCTGCCATCAACACCTTTGTTTCTAGGTGTTGGAGCTTGGCCTGTTTTTCAGTATAGTCCTGTTTCTCTGACTGTGAGTTTGTATCTATGCTTCTTTTTCTATGTCTGCTTCTGTCTCCTTGAACCCCAGTCGGCCTCAGCAGATGGCCGCTCACACTGAGCCTGGTTCTGCTGGAGGTTCCTTCCTGTTAAAAGGGAGTTTTTCCTCTCCACTGTCGCTACAAGCATGCTTAGTGTGAGGGATTGCTGAAGAGTCAATGAGTCGATGCAATCAGCTGGTTTTCCTTAGATAGAAAACTTTGAATCAATCTGACTGGATGATCTGGTGAACTGGAAAGTGACCTGAGATGACATGAATTAATTGGAGCTATAGAAATAAACTGAATAGAATTGTTAACATAAGTGTGAAAAAAAATGCAATGAAGAAATAAAATTTTGAAAAAAAATATTTCTTAAAAAAAAGTGTTAAAGGTAATTTTCCTGATCTCTTCGATTTTTTTTATTTCCATTTCTTTTCCATTTTCATTTTCCAATATAATTTTTTCAAATGTTAATTTCTTTTCAGAATGACATTTGTTTTTATTTTACGTTTTTAAAATTTCCTTTTTTAAATTGAGTTTTACGAATTGTATTCCTTTCAACTTGAGTTTAAGAGATCCAATTACAGCCAGAGGTGTCAAAAGTATTACTCCAGTAAAAGAAAAACATTCTTTTAAAAGATTTAATAGTGTTTTTAAGTCCGGCTCTTTAAAAACATTTTATAGAAGTTAAAGGATCAACTTAAGCTTTTTACTCCAGAAAAAGTGAAAAAAAAAATTTTTGAAACTACTTTAAAGTATAAAAGTACTTTTTCTTCCTTAAGTAGAAATGTTGCCATTCTATACTTTACTGGAGTAATTATTTTCTAGACAACTTTTTCCTTTTACTACTTACATTTTAAAAATAGACTCATTAGTTTTGTTTCATTTAAGCTCATTTTATTCTGGCCTGTTGGTATTAAAAAAAAAAAAAAACATACAAATAATTAGTTTCATCCAGACAATTAATTTCTTTATGGTTGGACTCGGTGCTGCCCCAACTTATTGCTCACCACATACCAAAATAAATACTTATTCAAGTTATATTTGACACCATTAGTTATAAAACTAAGAAAATGAAGTCTGAGGATGTTATCATCCAGAATTGTAGGAAAAAGGTTCCTTTAATAGGAAAGAGCAGTAAAGCTTCTGGCCTTAACATTACTTTTCACTTTTGTACTTTTAAGTAGTTTTAAAATGGTACTTTTACTCTTTTATTGGAGTAAAAAGCTTAAGTTGATACTTTAACCTCTACAAAAGTGTTTTTTTAAAAAGCAGGATTTATACTGCAGGAATAAACATGAATAATCTTGAAACCTCTGACTTTCATTTGGTTTGAACTCGATATGTGTTACATTGAAGATGGAGAAAGGTTTGAATTGATCGCTCATGATTTAAACATCACAGTTTTTACGGCTTTCATTTCAAATCACATTCATGACGTTTATTGGTATAAAAAAGTTTGAGATCCAGATCAATGTGGAGACTAACCTGATTGACAAGTCTCCTAAATTCTCCACATCTCCAAACCTCATGACCAGCCTGAAGAGGACAAACACAGAAACACATCAAGATGAGTCAAGATTGTCATCAACTGTGGTTTAGGTCCAGAGTTTCACAAACTGGTTGGT